GTTCATCACCCTCAGAACATCAAACCTCCTTTCAACTACCCTTTTCTTGCGGCCCCTGCTTCTCCCCGAGCCTTGCCATCCCCAGCGCCCTTTTATTGTTCCTCCATCCACCCCGTGCCAGCCACGTTCCTTTTCAGGCCCCGGTTGCCCTCAGTGCTTCTTTTACTTGGCTTTTCGGACCGTGCAATCCACGCCTCCCGTCATTCTTTCCTCAATCTCGTGCTTTACCAAATTCACATGTATTTTTCCCATGTTATTTTGCCCAGTTTTCTCCATCCCTGCCAATCCCGTATGCATGTCACCCCCATTCTCAAAACCCGCGTTACTTAGTCCATTCCATACGCATCTTTCTTCCGGCATCTCGCCAGGCCTTGCTCAAACTCATGCAAAATCCATTACACATTTATCACTTTTCTGGGCATCTTGCAGTCCTTCCCTTTAGCTTATGCAAACCCAGTTGCTCATGCCTTTCTCTTCTGAATGTTTTGCCAGACCTTCTCTCAAGCCCGCGCAAGGTCAATTACTCATCCATTTCTCTTCTGACCATTTTGCCAGGCCTTTTCTCAAGCCCATGCAAAGTCAAATACTCATCCATTTCTCTTCTGGACATCTTGCCAGGCCTTTTCTCAAGCCCATGCAAAGTCAAATACTCATCCATTTCTCTTCTGGACATCTTGCCAGGTCCTTCCTCAAGCCTGCGCAAAGTCAATTACTCATTCATTCCTTTCTTCTGGACATCTTGCCAGATCTTTTCTCAAGCCTGCGCAAAGTCAATTATACAAGCATTTTTTTTCTTCTGGACATCTTGCCAGGTCTTTTCTCAAGCCTGCGCAAAATCAATTACATAATTTCTTGGGCTCATGGTAACCTTGCACGCTTTTTCATTGGTAGATGGCACACCTTCCCCCCACACAAAATGCGATGTCCCCATCGCACGACTAGTTCTCACTCAGAGGTACGCAGACCTTGGCCCACCAACGAGTAGACGGATGTCGGCCCATCAGTCCCAAAAAGGAAGGGTGATCAGTCCTCCCCCTGCTGATAACTCACCTCATCCCGTACTCCGTCCGACCTTTTGTCGCTTACGAGACGGGCGTCATCACTGAGGTACCTCCTCACATCTGGCAGGTAGGTCCAGTCCGAAACCTCCCAGGACCCCGTCTTGCCGTAATGGCTTTCTCGCGAATCGTTCCTTCCGAGTGGTGTTTTCTTGGATCCGGCCTCTTCCTTTTAAGGGAGTTGGGACTCTCAATTAGTTTGCGAGTGCAGTTACGAAGACCTCGCGGTTAGTCCCGGAACGGTTGTAATGATCCGGCCGGGCGGTGTCATTCGCCCTGTGGTGGTTGTGGCTTCCAGCCGGTACCACGCCTGACTCCTCCCTCTGGACAGTGCTGCTCAACTTTATGCGAGCTGCCGTGGTCCATTCCAAATGGTCGTGCCGCCCCTCTACGACATGGCGTGTGGTTGGGGAGAAAAATGAGACTTAGGAAAAAGAATGACTCTCTCGCCCGTTTGGCTCCACGCCCTTGACTTTTAGGTTCTCGACATGAGGCGCAGTTTGAACTCCCCGACTAGAGCTCGTTGTCGGAGTTAGTTCCGGACGGCCCGCATCAATCAAAGAGAAAGATGCCTTGGTCCTTCAACCCTTATTTTCCCTTATAAGGAATAGGTCACGCTGTGACTTTTCCCTTGACGGGTAGAGGTCTTGGGGTTGCGATGCATGCATCACTTTCCTCCTTATGTCGAGACCTGAGACTAGAAGAAAGGGAAAACTCAATCTCTTGCTATTTCCATGGTCGGCCCGACGACCTTACATCAAGTTGCCTAGGGTCCCCTGGCTATGCAATGCAATATCAAATCCTCAAACACTCAATCCCATGCTATTTCCAAGGTTGATTCTCATGGCTGGTCCAATAGCCTCTCATCAATCAAGGCCACCCCTTGTGGTCGCTCTGGCGGCCGCTTTCTTAATAGCCATTTTCGCAAGGGCCGACCCGTCGGCCCACCTTCAATCCTCATCTTTCACATTCCCCAATATCCATTTTGTATGACTGTCCCTCCGGTCCATGCTTCTCTTGTCTTTAGGCTCAGCCTTCTTTATCCTGCCCTTCTCATTCTCATTCGTCCGTTCTCCTGGCTATCTCAATGATCGATCCACCGTTCTTTTCCATCTCTTTCATCCATCCCATTGGCTATTTCAATGACCGACCCACCGGCCTTATCCATCTCTTTCATCCATTCCATTGGCTATTTCAACGACCGACCCACCGGCCTTTTCCATCTCTTATTGCTCAATCCAACTTATTCTCAATCAGCCTTTCTCAATCAACCTTTCTCAATCAATTATGTAGGGGACCTCAGTGCCTATTTCAAAAGGAATGACCCTTGTCAGGGGCCATTCCCGAACAACCTGGTTAGGGCTGTTCCTTTCCATTCTCAAGTCGAACAGCCTGGTTAGGGCCATTTTTTTCCATTCTCAAGTCGAACAGCTTGGTTAGGGTCATTCCTTTCGATTCTCAAGTCGAACAGCCTGGTTAGGGCCATTCCTTTCCATTCTCAATGTTAGTGCCCGAGGGGGTGGGCCTCGAGGTTACGGATCTCATTTCTGTCTTGGAGGTTAGAAGGTGGCCATCTCATCTCAGTTTTCAGCGTGCTGTTCCCATTTTCTATTTCTCGCAGTAATGTACTATTCATGCATACATCCGACTTAGCGTCTAGTACTCGAGTTGGGGCTCGCGACCCCAAGCAGCACTAGCCCACCCGGTCATTCACCCATAGCAAAAGACATAAGTGCCCCCTCTTATTTTCACTCGTTTTGATGACTCAGACCTCGGCTATTCTCAGACTCCTTCATGACTCAGTTGGATTAGGCTCCTAGGGAAGGAGCGTTCTTCACGCCCCTTAACCCATAGGTTCCCTAACCTCTCTTGTACTCGACCACCATTCAATGCCTTGCTTGCTCGTCAATCTTTACTCAAAGTTTCTTTTCTCAAAAGCACAATCCTTATCCCATCCAAAATTCACAACACATCCTCCCCAACTGGTCTCATCCCATGCCCCATGTCATTGTCTCGTGTACCCACTTTCAAAGGTAGCTCATCCAGAAAGTAGCCTCAGAAGCTATTTTCTAATCTTATTGTGCCACAGTCTTAGCTGGCCCTCTTATCACTTCATCCTTAGCAAGCTTACTCATACTATACACGTTCTTGTCGTTCCCATGTCTTTGCAAACAGAAAAGCAGGACTCCTGTTTAATGCTAAATCAACATCTAGTTCCTTTTGCTGCCTTGTGCCTCAGCTTGCTCGATTCCTTGTCTACCCTGTTCCTCGGCAGGCTTTCTAACCCCCAGGCCGAAGGTCTCGATTTCCCTCCTTTTCTTCGCAATTTCCTGTAGTTCCGCCTCACTGAAAAAGTCCAAAGGTGTGGCTTCCATCCCTGCCTTTGCGAGTTCTCAGGCCTCGATGATCCACTCGTGCCTGATCACATTGGTCCATTGCTGAAACCAATGACTGGGCGTTGGCCCAAACTCATCCTCCCATCTGAAGGCCTCATCGCGCGGCTGGTGCATCGGAGGCCGCCTCTCTTCCCTAGGCCTGGAGATTTTATCCCTCTCATCCCCGCTGCTGATTTCTATGATCTCTTGTACATCCTCCTCCTCATCCTCCTCGTCCTCCGTCTGTATGGGGCTATACCCTCCCGTTGGGTTCTTTGGATCGTAGGTATAAGGAATCTTTGTCCTTGTCTCATACCCCTCACAACTGTCGTGGCCGCTTCGTCCTTCAAGCGGGCTTTCTCTTCTCTCCTCCCCATCCTCACGCTCGTCGTGCATGTCCTGTCCCCCTTGGCTTTCTCCATGCCAAGTCTCACATCGTTCGCCCCTGTTGGCTCCTTCCTCGCCAGAGGCCTGAGCCTTATCTCCCATATCTGCATTGCCCCCTTCTCCCACATTTGCCCTTTCCTTCTCGCCCTCACTGTCAGCCGTAGTTCCGCCCTGGGTAGCCAATCGAGGATTCAGACGGAGAGATCCAACTAACGAGCAGTGCAGATACTGCACCGCGATGGGACATTATGTGCGCGCATGTCCAAAACTCAACCATGATATACTAAAAAGGAGATGTACCAGGTCGTTAAAGGGAGAGATATTCGGACCACAGGGAGAACGGGTGAATTGGAACTCGCCAAGGGGGATGCGACGAGCTATTATCATGCTCAATGGGTTAGAGATAGCAGCAGTAGAAGCTGAGCCGGTGGTTGAAATCATCTGGGATCAACTTCGGGGCTGCGGGCCGCAGGTCAACTTCATTTTGGAAAACGACAGACGAGATAGGGTGAACGCGACTACTCGGCTAGGGACGGTTGGGAGAAGGATTATTTGTGACACCGTGATGGAGGAGGTTGCTGGAAGTTCCCTACCCCAGGCAGAGCCTAAGGCCGGGGAACCAGAGAAAGTCTATGGGAAGCCTAGGGAAGAGGAACTTGCGTACAAGTTACCGCTGCCAAGAAGAAGTTTCGGTATCAAATCCCAATCTTAACCTTGCCCGAGATCGACGACACCCTTAGCAAGTTACTAGGAACCATGGTGTCAATGTCATTTCAGACCATGCTGCAGGCTAGCCCTAGGTTGCTCAAAGGGCTTAGACAACTGTTGACTCGGCGGCGAGTAGAAATAGACGACAACCCCGAATTACCAGAAGAAGAAAGGGAGGAGGAAGTTCCGCAAGAGGTTGCTAACCTTCAAAGGAGTTGCGGGGATCTGGAGGATCTTGAGAAAGCCTTTGCAAACATCTTTTTGAGCTTGCCAGACCGAGAAGGTGGCGAAGTCATGAGGGCACCTCCTGGGACAAAGCTCAGTTTCCATGCGCTACCCGTAGGGAAATTGAAGATTCAGATCGGGACACATCATACCGATACATTAGTAGACGGGGGAGCAAAAATCACTCTCATAAGGAGAGATTTCGCAACAATCACAGGCTGTACGATAAATAAGTAACGGGGAGCATCCGGGGAGCCAGTGGGGAAATTCCGTTCGCAGGATATGTCACGAAATGTGCAGCCAAGGCAGGAATCAGGGAGTCAATCTGGTCGTTTCAGCGGATGACCATAATGGAGGAAATGGATCACGACATTATCCTTGGGAGGCCATGATGCGCAAACGTAGAAATGATAGGCATGCACTTGCACGATGGCACGTACATGGTAGGTATAGAGGATCCGGTGACCGGCCGGGGAGAGCTCCTCCGACTCCTTGGGACAGGAGGAGACCCTCCGAAGGGGAAGTTAGCAACGTGGTCGCCGTCGTTCGAAGATAGCGCACGAAAAGGGGCTTTCGCGCGGATGGAGGGCATGAGAGAAAGGGTAGAAATTATGATTGAGGAGGCATTTAATAAGAAGGAATGGATCAAGATGGGCCTGCCCCAGAAGAAGAGGAAGCAAGAGGACGAAGTCTTAGGTGTTATGGTAGCAGAAAAGGAGTCAGAAGTCGAACTCGGTGCCAACTTGCCCAAACAGAAAGAAGTACGCATGGACGTGCCGGAAGTCGCACTCGAGATCCCGGATTTGTTACAGCTCATCAAGGCCCTCAGATACCAAAAGGGGTATTGTCTGAATGGAAAATTAGTTAGTATTCAACTACGGGTCGTAGAGGCGACGAGGGCAATCCCGACCGTTCATTTTTTACGAGAAAGATCCCGGAAGGAAGTGTTCGAAAGTATAAGCCGGTAGGGAAGAAGGCAAAACCGGTCTCGATCCTGTTAGAGACATCAAAGGAAGAGGCTATGGAGAAGGAAGAGAAGGTCCTTCGAGTAATCCAAAGCGACGGAAGGGCATCGGATACCAGATGAGGTAGCTGATACGATGAAGATAGGGGTAGACGGATTCCTAACAGAAGAGGAAAACCACCTGATCAAAAGGACCTGCCAAGAGTTTCACCTGACATTTGCCTTTTTAGTGATCACCAAAAGGGGCGGCTGGACGCGAAGCTGATTCCTCCGGTCAGAATCCACACGGTAGAACATGAGTGCTGGAATGACAAGGGTCCGTCCTATGAATTTGGGATAGCAGGGGAAGTGACAGACCTTCTTCGAGCGAAGACGGACTCCTTCGTCGCAGAACCTACAGCGTCGCCATACGCAAACCGGTGGTTCGTATTTCGAAAGCCCAACAAGACGCTAAGGTGGATTCAGGATCTGCAGAAGTTGAATGCGGTAACCATCCGGGATGCTGGCTCGCTACCTCAGGCTGATTTATTAGCAGAGTCGCACGCCGGTCGGAGCATTTACTCCCTGATCGATTTGTACTCAGGATACGACCAGCTTCCATTGGATGTCCGGGACAGGCCGTACACCGCAATGCACACCCCCATAGGACAGTTGTAGATGCAGGTGACTCTTATGGGCTTTACGAACGCGGTAGCCGAGGCACAAAGGAGAATGCTCGTCGTAGCCAGAGACATGTTTCCAGAAAAATGTGAGCCTTATATTGATGACAACCCAATCAAAGGCACTCAAGAGAAGGACGAGACTGAAGTCCAGCCGGGGATTCGAAGATTTTTATGGGACCATCTGCAAGACATTAAGGACTTACTCCGACGGTTCCTAGTGTATAACATCACGGCTAGCGGACCAAAGAGTATTCTAGCAGCACCGGAAGTAACTATACTAGGATTTCGCTGCGGGGCTTATGGTAGGAAGCCAGACCCGACAAAGACAGACAAGATATCACAATGGCCAACACCCTGCGCACGACTACGGAGGTAAAAGCTTTCCTAGGCGTAGTCGGATTTTGGAGGATCTTCATTAAGAATTTTGCCAAGATTGTCGAACCTATCCGGGCCATGATCAGAGAAGAGGGAACCATGGATTAGACGGAGGAGCGAGAAGGAGCTGTCCAAACCCTTAAGGACATATTGACATCTGAGCAAGTCGCCTTGTCAGCGCCTTGTTTTAATGACGAAGTGGGACGACCATTCATCCTAACAACGGATGGAGGACCCTTGGCCGTAGGAGGCGTGCTGATTCAACGGGATGAGGAAGGGAGAGAGAGACCGATTAGGTTCGAAAGTAGAACCTTGAACTCCGCAGAACGGCGGTAGTCGCAGTTCAAAAAGGAGGTCTTGGCCATCTTACATTGCCCCAAGACCTTCCAGGCCTACCTATTTGGGAGGCGGTTCATTCTTAGGATCGATCCGACAAATGTTGCGGGGGCCCTAAAGAATTACAGGCCTATAGATCCGACGGTGGGGAGATGGGTAGGATTTATCTGGCAGTTCGATTACAAGATCGAACGGATTGCGGGAATAAAAAACAAGGCCGATGGGCTGAGCCGATTTTGCATAACTCCAGAAGGGGTGGAAGAGGCGGAACCCATAGACGCGTTCCTTGAATTCGAGGGAGAAACTCTTGCGGTGGACAACGAAATGATGGGCGAAGAATGCGCGTCGAGAGAACTGTTGATCCGGACTTTCGAGAAGGTGGCGCCTGCCGTAGTAGCAGAACTTAAAGAAGGACCCGTCACCACTCGAGGTCGTAAAGAGGAGAGAGATTCATAGGGAACAATAGTAGGACCGAAGGAGGAGCTAATAGCAATGGCGGTTGAGGGAGGCCGGGAAATCGTGATGAGCTTAGTGGAATCTTGGGAGAAGAAAGAGTTGCAATTGATGGTAAACCAGATGCAGGAGAGAAAGGATGAGGACCACGAAGAGAAGGAGGTTTTCTATGTCTAGACATACGAAGGGATCTTTCGGGAAATCGGGTTGTTGCTTGTAGGAAACAAGCAACCCACGGAAGTCAGCGCTAATGCAAGGGAGGAGGCCGAAAGGTACGTCCTAAGGGGCGGCCATCTGTTCCGAAGAGAAGAAGGTGCTATGCCTAGAAGAGTTGTGTGCGGAAGATCTAGGCAGTTAGATGTTATCCAGGCAATGCACGACGGGTTAGCGGGAGGGCATCGGTCGTCCAAAGGGACTCTCGCAAAGATAACGCCACTTTATTATTGGCCAGGCATGGCAAGCATGGTCGCCATATACTACCAGACATGCCTTATCTGCCAAGAACGAAGCTCGGCACGTGTCTTTGAGCCGCTTAGACCTACGCGGGTGCTAGGGCCGGGACATCTGGTCCACCTTGACCTTGCGGTCATGCCTGTATCAACAGATGGGTACAGGTATATTCTAGATGCGTTGAGTGGGTTCGTGGAGGCGATCGCTTTAAAAAAAAAGACAGGGAGAAGTGTAGCAGACTGGATAAAAGACTTCTATTTGAGGCATCCTTTCGTCAGGAGATTCATAGCGGACAATGGGACATAATTTGTGAACCAAGAAGTATTGGGGATGCTTAAGAGACTCTGCGTACCAATCAAACTCATCGAGTTGTATCACCCAGAGGCCAATGCACCTGTGGAAAGAGGGCACCAAACCTTAAAGAACACGATTGCGAAGCTCGCAGCGGATCATCTGGGAAGCTGGCCTATGTATCTCAAGCAGGCTGTCTTTTCAGAGAACATGACACCTAAGAGGACAACGGGATGTATCTCAGCAAAACTTTGGTACGGAAGGGAGATCGACTTTCCCGTTGAGGCCTTGATACCTACCTGGAACAGGTTAGATGATGATCCGCGAATGACCACGGAAGAGTTAATCGAGGCAAGATGCCGACAAGTCCTTAAAAACGAAGAAGTCATGGAAGACATCGTCCATCGAGTATTGGACAGCAGAATGAGGGACAAAGCAAGGTGGGACCAGGTTAAGAATGTCAGAAAGGAGCCACTTCAAGTGGGGGAGATGGTATTGCTAAGGAATTCGGCACTGGAAAGTACTTGGTCTGGACAACTGGGGAGGAGGTCAAAGGCCCCTTCCGGGTCGCCAAGCGGGTGGGGCTGAACACTTTCGAACTGGAAGATTTGGATGGAACTGGATTGAAAGGACCCTTCCCGGGTCAACGACTGGTCAGGTTTCTAAGTCGGGACCCAGTGGAACAATGGCTTCAGGAGGCCGGGGACAGGGAAACTGAAAGGCTACAAGCCAAGGACTGACGGCGACCTTGCTCACACTTTTGGTGCTGTCTCTGACTGCGTCCGTGGGACTGTCATTCTTTTGACTGGGGCAATGGCTTGGACTGATTGAGGTTGAAATGCAGGGTGACTTGGGGATTTGCGGTAACGGGTTTGTGCGACGACGGGAAGGATTGTTGGGGCATTGTATCATAGTTTTTTACGGGAAAATAATGGGATCTTCACAAACGGCGCATTTGCATAAGGGAGGGAAATGTATAAAAGGGGCATGATGCGAAGGATACTGGGAGCATTCTGGGGAAAGGGGAGCTGCCTACCGAACTGGGGGAACGGGTGTAGGAGGGGGTTTTGCGGGTGTTGTCTTGTTATACAGGACCTAGAAGAAGAAAAACACAAGAAAAAGTAAAAATGAAATTCGGCAACGAGAACGACAGCGGGGCAATCAACAGGCCTACTGGAGGGGAAGAAGCAGGACCAAGCCAAGGGAGGAGGACGACGAAGAGAAAGTTGTACATAGGGCTCATGGGCGGGCCGGTGGTAGGTAGGGGTGGAAAAAAGTGCGTATGTAGAAGACCCTCGCCCCTCCGCAAGGGAGAAGGTATAGAAGGATACTTGCGCCTACATAACCAGTAGTGCGTTTTCCACCCTTTCAATTTTGTGGTCGACTCCGTGCACCCGTTCGTGTAGGCTTTCAATCCCCTTCTTTACCTTGTCGCCTGTCTTACCGGTCAGGTCTATGACCTCCCCTTCCTTAAGCAAGGCCAATGTCTCGGTCACTACCGTCTTTTCGGCCAGGTCCGTTACGGTGCTAAAATCCACATCCCTGGTGTTTACGAACTTGCTCGTCTGCTGGTAGGCTGACAGAATCTTGTCTTTGTCGAACTCGGAGAACCGCCTGAGGAAATATTTGCTCATTATTCGGTCCGTAACCCCGGGGATCCTTAGTGCTACCAGAGTGAACTCCCGTAGGAAGTCATTGTACGTTGCGAAGTTCTTCCTCTGAACTGCCGCTAAGTCGGCCTCCATAGCCATTTTCTCTGTTGCCAGATATTTTCTCATCATCACATCCCGGGTCTCCTTCCAAGACCGGCTTGCGGCCACAATGGCCATTATGTCCCGCCCTAGGCTCAATGACACATGCTGTCCTAGGTTGTCCATCTTTTCTTCTTCGGTCCATTTCAGTAACGTAGCTAGGTTCTCAGAATCGATTAGAAACTCCGTGATATTTGCCCCGTCGAACTTCAACTTTTTCTTAGCATCCGCTAGGTAGCCCTGATTTTTGTTCAGTGCTCGTGCGAGGGATGATACTATCTTCCTAAGGCCGCCCTCGGAGCTACTGGCCTCGCCCGCCATACTGGTATCCGGTCCTTCCTTGCCGACCTTCTATCCCTCCCTAGTCTTTGCAGTTCCTTCCGGGTCGAACCACCCCAACACCCTTTCCCTAAGGCTCCAGAGCCCTTCACACCCCCGCGTTGCTGCCGACGTAGTCGGCAGACGGCTAGCCCTACCATCTATGGCTGGTGGGTTTGTAGCTTTCTCCGCTGCCATCCCCAGAGAGTTCTCTCTTTCTTTCCTCCTTTTGCTCGATGTTTCCCCACGGTCGCAGCCCTTATCCCCTTGCCCATTTCCGCCTCGGCCGGTCCTCGTTTCGTCCCTCGGTTCTTCCTGCAGAGGGCCTTCTTCGTTCCCAGTCATCATTTCCTCGATCAATCTTGCCTTGTACTCCGCGGTCCTCTTTTCTATTTCTGCTAGTTTGCGCCTCGCATCTGTGACCCTTACTTTCTTAGACACAGCTCCCTCTGAATTCCGGGGGCTTGTCCTATCCTTATTCATGCCCTCTTTGGTTTCCTGAGTCTCTTGCCTGCTTCCCCCGGCTTCCTCGAGCTTTCCCCGGAGGAAATTTCCTTCCGGTTCCCTTTTGTACCATCCGGATTTATCGATTCTCTGTCTTTCTGCCCTTCTTCGCTCTGCATGGCATTGCCTCCTAAGCCTGGTCCTCCTTCGCTCTTACGGTTGTCCGTCTCATCCTCCATTGCCATTTTGCCTAGTTCTGCATAAGCCAAATGATTCCCCAGGACACACGCAACGCGAGGTATTTAAGTTCCCTAGGTTCCAACCCTGTTGGTTTTATCTTTGTTCGGACAATAGCCTTCTCCCTATTTCCGTTTTCTGATTGCTTCCCTAAGAAGGAGCCATGACTGACCCTGCTGCCCTGTCGGCTAAGGGCGTGACTTAGTTTCCTTTATCACAGGCTCGTTTAGAGCGCCCTTGCCCTGTTGGGCCCGTGCGTAGGAGTTCGGGTTAGGCATCCCGCTAGGGAAAGTTTCCCGAGCAGTATTCCCCTTTTCGACCTTCAGGGTCATGGCAACCATTAGGAGTCTACCCCCTCTACCCCTTAGCGGGTTTTGATCATCCGGGTCCGAAGCCCTTCCTCATTTCCATTGACAGATTTATACTTAATTTGCCCTATTGGCCCATCCCTAGAGGCTAGTCCTGTTCTCGCCCTCATGGCCCTTCTGGTTCGGTAGGCTCCTCGAATAGTTGAGCCACCCCTGCTAAATAACTCTCTCCTATCTCGATTTCTCTTAGGATTATGTGCTTGTAATCCGCCCAGGCTAGTCGCAGCAACCTAAATATCAAAATATGGATGACTTTCAGTAACTCATGGGCCCTGTTTCCCCAGAATGGCCCATGTTCCACAGAAACATCGTAGAACATCCAGATGGTCTGAAAGGGGAAGTGGTCTACCCAGACTATCGCTGAGTCTGCCAGCGCTTGTGCCCTTTCGAGGCTCCCGAAAATGAGGTCTATCATAAACCGGGGGACTCGACACCTCAGCGGTATGGTTGGTGCCCTGAACTCCCTCCAACCCCCCATTTCCACCCTGGTAAGCAAGTCCACGTTTCTTCTACCCCTGACCGATTGTCCTATCCGCGTCAATGCCTGGGCCGCCCTTCGAAAAACTGGGGCCGACTCGTGGCCTTGCGCTATCCCTATCCCCAATAAGTGCCAGCCAACCTCGGGTAGGTATAGGACCTCGATGACTTCTAAATTGGTGAACAAATCGTCCCCGGGCCCTCGGTTGAGTCTCATCCCCCTCCACCGACATTCCACCAACATGAAGGCTGTGTCTCTTCCTAGGGTCACGGCCCGCCATTCCGTGTCGAATCCCCGAAAGTTGGGATTTGACGGGAGGGACACTTCCCATCGCCTGCCGTTATTCCAGGGCGGTCCGGGGTACCGGGGCTGACGTTCCATTCGCACACGTCTTGCTGCCATTGTCGCCTTGGCGATTCCCTGCATAGTCCACATAGAGAGGGTTACAGCCAATCCTTAGTAAACGTCCACCTACTGCCCCCTTACCCTTCATGTTTTCATTCTTCTTCTCTGATCCCAACTACCCCTCCATATCCCCAGGAGCAGCAACCCCCTCCGGTTGTTCGTTTACCCAAATAGCAAGTGCATACAACAGTAGTATTCATACCGCTACAGGGCGTACGCCTAATGCACTGCACAAGGGGTGGAAACCTAAGCGTCCTATTGATGTGCTAACAAGGGACCAGTTCCTTAGGTTACCTCCAGGGACCCAGGAGTATGCAATATTGTTTCAAGAAAACATTAGGAAAGTAAAGGATAATCTGAAGAAAGCTCAAGACCAAATGATTGAACAAGCTAACAAGCATCGTCGACCATCAACATTCAAGGAAGGTGATCTAGTCTGGGTCAAGTCCAAAGAGTTTTCGTTGGAAGAAGATGTGTCTCAGAAACTTTTGCCTGTCTATTTTGGACCCTGGGAAGTTCTCAAAGTAATTGGGGATGGAGAGGGACCGTCTTATCGTATCGATATTCCCCCTCATCTTAAAATGTATCCTGTTTTTCACGCGTCCAAATTGTTGCCCTATATAGAAGGAAATGAATTCCCAAATTGACCATCTATAATTCCGCCATCTATGGAAGACAGATATGAAGTAGACCGGATCATAGAGCATGGGTACTTTTCTATAGGTGGACGTGGACGATCCCAAAAGCAGTTCAAGGTACGTTTCAAATCTCTGGTACCGTCTGAGGACAGATGGTTTAGTAAGCGAGAATTACTTGAAACTGCTCCTGATATTGTATCTGCATATGAATGTGGGTTGAAGTCTTAGTTATTTCTGCGATGGAACTCGAAATGGGTCGACAGGAATGCAGTACCTCATGTTCTGCAACAGTCTGGGCCCTCTAAAGTCTGCCTGCGCCAGGTAGTGTGACCACACACTGCCCTTGGGAAGTCAAAAGTCTAAGTCAACTGTAAGGTCAAAGGTACCCCACCCAGGCCCTTGGTCGGATACACTCACTTGTTGTGCGTAGGTACCTAGACAGCATCAAGGTTAGAAGGAATTCGGTTTTAAGCCAATCTGGGCCGTCATTTGCATTGAGACATTGACAGTTGAGGGATGCAACATCCGGGGTCCAGACCCCACGTCATCGCTACATAAGCGCTGACTTCCTGACTTTGGCATTCATTCTGTTTTATGTCAATGCTGACTTCACACATTGACAACGACGCTGTCTGGACGCTGGCTTTGCGCTGGCACTTGTGTGACTACGGCGACGCGCTGCTGGCTCGGCATGGTGGCTGGCTGACTATTGTCTTCAGGGCATGCTGACGTGGCAGCTGCCACTCGTCGTTGCTGACATGGCCGCTGCCACAAGTCGCTGCAAACGTGGCCGTTGCAACA